AGGGAGCGAGCGGAGACCCCTCAGCTCTGACAGAGGCCTGGGCAGGCCACACACCTCTTGAGAGCGGCGAGCAGCACCCGTACCTCTCACAGCTGCGTCCCTCAAGCCCCTTCTCTTCCCGCGGGCGAGGCAATGAGCCAGCCTGCGGACCAGGCCAGGCGATCCCCTCGCTCTGGACAAGGGCGGCCCCGCGGGCTGCGGTCGTGGAAAGGCCTGGAGGAGCCGCCCTCGGCCGCCGGCGCCCGGTGGATCCCTACGCTCGGGCGCGCGAGATAAGTCCCAGGGCTCGCCCAGCCTCACCTCCCAGACCTTCCGGTGGCGCCAAAAGCGACGCGGAGTGCTGGCGCAGTGCGCAAGCGCAGTGGGCGGCCGGACAGGCGGTGTGAAGTTTCACACCCTGATGAAGGTTGTGTAGGACCCACCGGGCTGAAGAGAGGACTCCGAGGTAACGCGCCAGGCCCGGTGGGGAGCCCATACAGCCGGAGGGGGCCCGGGGGGGGGCCGGGACATTCCCTTCTGAGCTTGATGCCTGGGTTGTCCTGGGCCACAGCCTCCCAGGCTCTCCCCACTCCCGGAGTCTTGCTCCCTGTTCCCTGCTGGTCGCCTGTCGGCGCCCACAGGTGTTTCTTTTCACTTCCCTCCTCACCCCTCTGTGGGTTCCGCTGCCCTGTCTCTGAGGGGCCTGGGTGGGGCGAGTTGAGAGGGGAGGCTGGGGGTAGGAATAAAGTCTCTGGCCTAGTCGGAAGCACTGCCCCCTGGGCTGGCTCTGGACCCTTCTCTCAGGCCGCTCAGGGTCTGGCCTGAATTGTTTCTCCCTTGGAATTGTAGATCTGACCCAGCCTGTTCGGAGGCCGAGGCTGCACTGGTCTCTCAAACCCAGCAATGAGTTTGGACAAGACCAGGCCTGTTTACTTGAAGTGCTAGTGGTTCTGGACAAAATCAGTGCCTTTCCATGTGGAGACCTCACCCTCGTTTACAACATTCTAGGATGTGGGGTGTCTGGAGGCCTGTAGCTGAAGGACACTAGAAAATGTGAGATGTGTCCTCTTTAAAATTTGAATTTGGCCCTGGCCGGGTGGCTCAGTTGGTGAGAGCACCCTCCCAATATGCCACGATTGCAGGTTCAGTCCCTAGTCAGGTCACGTACAAGAAGCAACCGATGATGCATAAATAAGTGGAACAACAAATCGATGTTTCTCTCTCACTCTCCCTCTCCCTCCCCCACCTTCATCCCCCTCCCTCTCTTTCTAAAAATCAGTATTTTTAAAAAAGAAAAAAAACTGAATCTGAATGTCTTTTCCGGTCACCTGCACTCTCCTGCTGGTGACAGATCGCACTCATTGTTGTCTTATACTTGTCCCTTTGTAGTCATTTACGCCCATCTAGCCCCTGAAGGCCACCAGTCTCCTGTCACCGGAAGTTCATTTCTCTGCAACCTCACCTGTGGAAGTTCTTACAAATGCATCTTGTCCTTTGATCCAGATCATGAGTCATGTGGAGGAAGCAGCCCGCCGGCTGTCCAAAACTGGGACAAGCCTCTACGCAGTGCTGGAGCTTAAGAAGGGTGCCTCGCCTGAGGAAGTCAAAAAGGCCTACAGGTTCAGACCTCAGCCCCTTATTAAACCCTGGAGTTTCCCCCCTTAAACCCACCGCTTATCTACCTTGCTCTTTGGCCCATTTTAAAAAACCCACCTTGGGGCTGGATGGAGCCACCATCCTCTTCACTGTGGCGTGGGAAGGGATTTGGACTTGGGCTGCTTGCCTCCGTTCTTTGTACCACATCTAATGCATTCCCTCTTCACTATCTAGAGACCTATCCCTGTCATTCGTCCTAACCCTCCCTCCCCAGCTACTCCCTATTCTCTCCCCTCCCCCCTTTTGGGTATTGCCTGGGTAGGAGACTGGCCTTGAAGTATCATCCAGACAAGAATCCAGGGGACCCTCAAGCAGCAGAAATATTCAAAGAGATCAACACAGCCCACTCTATACTGAGTGACCATAAGAAGCGGAAAATCTACGACCGGCATGGCTCACTGGGAATATATTTATATGATCACTTAGGCGAAGACGGCGTCAAATACTATTTTATAATGAATAGTTGTTGGTTCAAGGTACACAATTCTTCCTAGTCCCTTAAGAATAAGGAAGGAGGGGAGACCCTCCTCATCTAGTCACCTGACCCTCCTCTACTTGGATAGATGCTTTTGTTGTCTCATTTTCTGGGTGCTAGGAGGATAGAGGGAGGGGAGCTTGAGTGGATATATAGAAGAACTGCTGCACAGAGGCCGCCATTCTTTCCTGCCTTTCAGACACTTGTCCTCCTGTGTGTTCTGCTGACCTGCTGCTGCTGTTGCTGCTGCTGCTGCTTTTGCTGTGGAACACTGAAGCCGCCACCTGAGGAGGTGGCAAGGAGAAAATACCAGCAGAACGTCCATACTCAGCCTCCGAGAGCAGGTGAGAACCATAGATGGGTCGAGGTAAGAGTGGGACTAGGAGAGAAAAAAACAGTGGGCATGAAACTGTGAACCCCTAAATGCGAGAGTCTCAAGTCGGTATTGGGGCAAAGTGAAGAAAGGGAAGGGGAGACCCTTGGTCTCTGAAGGGCTTATGCTACAAACTGGCAGCTCGAATGTAAGGTTGTTGGCCTCGGGACAGTTAAGCTAGGAGTGGGTGGGAGTTAAGGGAAGAAATGGGTAGGAGAGTGTGCCTAGAAAAGGTAATTTTGAAGACAAGTTAGGGGATGTAGTTCATTGCGTTTATTTGGAAGGAAGGTGAACTGAGATTATCCCCACTCCAACTAGTTAAACTTTCAAGGGTGAGTCGACTGGAGCCCACACAGTGCCACCTACTGATGTGAACGTGTAACTGCAGAGCAACGGTTTCCTCCCCAGTAGCCAGACAAATCATGACTAAATGTTTATATGTGTGTTTCTCAAATTCCATCGTAGGAAACAGAGAAAATTTTAGAAGCGGGGGAGATGATTCTAGTGACGATGATGGTTAAAAGATGAAGAAGAGTGAAGTACGGAAACTGAAATGCAGCAATAATTAAAGGATAAGAAAAGAATATGCGCTAACTTCAGATGAGTCGTTAGTGGAGAGTTTAGACCCCATAGTATGGACTATAAGTGGTGATAGCCTTACCTGTAGGGGGTTTGCTTTACATTCTTGGTGCTCATTCCTTCTGGTTAATAAGACTCCAACTTCTGTCCTTAGGTGCTGACCCAAGGAAGGCGTCTCCTGCTACCCCGTACACTGGAAACATTGGAGAGGAGCAGGTGTAGCCATGTTCTGACATTGACCCTGATTTGCTCACAAGAATGTGAGAATCCCAACTCTAGAAGCATTGATGGCGTCCATCCCAGTGAGGATGCAGTCTCTGTCTTTGATGGTGTCACTGACCCTGGCGGTACAGGGTCACCTGACTACTCTTCTTTTTAGCTCCAGTCCCAATTTTAATCTGTTGGAGAGCAGACCTCTCATCCCTACCCCTAAGAGGCCTCAGGCAGTGGTGACAGACTTTTCCCAAGCATCCTTTTTCCTGTGCCTCCCTTGGGATTTGAGCCAATGTCAGCTGGGTAGGGCCCCTGAGTCACTTGTGATATCTCCACCAAGATCCTGAAAGCTGAGCAGAGTGGATCCTGTCCCAGAGCTGTGGCACCAGTTAACCCTCCTTTGTTGCAATTCTGTATACCAAGAACTCTTAGCATCAGACTCATTCTTAAGCCACTACACTTTTCTGGGGCTGGTCTCACCTTCTTCTGGTGCCCATACACTTGGCATTGCCAGCCTCATTCCATGCCACCATGAGTCAGCTTAGGAAAAGTATGAATGTATTTGAGGCTTAGGGGTAGTTGTCCCACCTTTGGGTTGTCCCTGGACTGCAGCCACCAGCACAGCCCCTGTTAGCCTGGCCCTGTGGGTTGCCTGAAGTTCACACATCAGTGCCCATTTGTCTCCATCCTTTCACCCACATCTGATGCAGGCTGGTCACCATATATTTTGTTTTTAAATGAGGGCATGAAACACACGATAGGGAAAAGATTGTACTTTTACAGACCCTTTCCCCACTCGTGCCTCTGCACAGCCTGTTTGGTATCCTCTCCACATCATTTATTTCCTGTCCACCCTGGGTCAGAGTCTAGTAACTCCTCATACTTATCTCTCCTGACTGGGAGAGGGGCTAAAGAATGTCAATAAAAGAGCTTTTGTTCAGTGCCAGTGCATGTGTGGGGACCCCAACAGACAAATTGTGCCTGGAATGGAGGGAAAGACCTGTTGGAGAAAAAGATGGAGGGCTAGTGCTCACATCTGAGACCAGCCTGCGTTGGAGAGTCCAAGACGACTGTGGAGCTGGGACAGAGGCTTCCCGGAGCCTTGTGATTATGACTTTGCCAGTACTCTAAAATTTCCCTGGAGGCCAATTCCCCTGGTACTCAAAATAGGTCCCTGGCACTCAGGTCCTTTCTGCCCAACTCAGCTTCTCTCAATTTCCTAACAAATCTCAAGCGCTTGGAGTGGCTCCAGTGATGTGTTCATGGACCAGAATGTCACACTTTCTTGGGGGCAAGCTCATGAGGTCGTTCTAGGCCCTGGCACAACTGCCAGTTCTAGCCTCCCAGAGCTGCTTTTCCTAGGGTGATATAAAAAAGTTCTGGGCAAGAACAAAAGTGGACCAGAAGTGTTGGACCGGAGCCTCTCTCCAGTCTCTGGAGCCCCTGTTCTGAATCATGGGGTTCAGAGGAGGAGGGGCAGGGCCAGGCTAAGCCTTGGAGGCAAACAATTTCCCTGACTGCCTGCAGGTCTAGTAAGTTCTGCCCTCCCTCCCTGAGCCATGCACCATCCCTCTCAAACCGGCCAACTTAGACTGCATATCACTGCCCTGGAAGAAGGGCCCAAGCCAGAGCTCCGGGCTCAGGGGCTCACAGGAGCCTTTCTGGGTGAGAGCAAGTTCGAGCTCAGTACCTTTGCTGGCCCACCTTTCACCATAAGCACTGAAGCTCACCCCTGCTCTTGCTCAAGAGAGTCACCCATTCCTAAGTGAGTCAGGGTCACTCATTCGGTAACAGCTGTGGCTCGCCTTACAGGAGCTAAATTGGGAGATGGAATGTCACACAGATGCCCCTTGTTCCCCACCCCCACGTTAAAATTAATCTCCTCTCTGGGGAGTGAGGGACAAACAGTGCTGCCCGTAGAGTGAACAAGAGTCGTTTGGGGAACAAAAGGAGACATTTCCAGGGACAGAGTTGCTCAGGGAGTGAGGGTAGAGAAAGCTGCATGTGCCTGGCTGTAGTACAGAGCAAAGAAGAGAGAGACGAGAAGTGTCTGAAAACAGCTATCTAAGGGCGCTGCGAATTGTCAGGAAGGGACAGGAAAGATAGCAGAGCTATTTCAAGAGTGAGCAGCAAAAGGGAACAGAATAATCCACAGACTAAGTAAACGAGGAAGGGTCCAGAGGCAGTGAGGAAAGGCCAGAGCCACGGCCAAGGCCAGGGTCGGCACAATCACTGAGGGGATGAACTTCGCAGTGGGTTTCAAGCCGCTGCTAGGGGATGCACACAGCATGGACAACCTGGAGAAGCAGCTCATCTGCCCCATCTGCCTGGAGATGTTCTCCAAACCGGTGGTGATCCTGCCCTGCCAGCACAACCTGTGCCGAAAGTGTGCCAATGACGTCTTCCAGGTGGGCCGAGGCGGGGTCGGGGGGGGGGCAGGTGAAGCTGTGGGAACATGTGGGCAACTTCTCATCAGGGCTGAGTGAGCCCCCAGAAGGTGATGGGCAGAGTGCTCTATGAGACGGGTGGTGGCTGTCCTGGCTGAGGGGCAGAAGAAGAGCCGGGGCTCTAGGAGATCCTACAGTAAGCATGAGTCAGCAGCTGCTCTGCAGGCTGGCGAGCTCAGCCTGTGCGTGGACAGCAGCGGGCACGGTGGTATCTACAGAGGAAAGAAGCCCCCCGTAGAAAGCAGGAGAGAGGTGATCTTGGACCAGGCTGTGTAACAGTTTGTGCTAGACTCTGCATTCCACTGTGGAGTTTTAGATTTTGAGAACATTGTGGGAAATCTGGAGAGAATAGCATTGAGATGATGAAATATTACAACATAAACCCTGTGAGAAAGGTCCATAATGACAGTGAAACTATTGCAAAGCTCAGCGCATCCATCTTTGGGAGGCAGAATTAGTGGGCAGGAGACTGGGAATTCTCCCCAATTAAGAGTCACGCCTGTGCCCCACTTCAGACTAGTCATAAAGGGGCCTGCTGGTTAAAAAGAACTGAGGTCACTTAATCAGAAAGCAGAGAAGAAAATTTACTTCCCAGAAATACAACCAGTTTAGGTTTGCATGTGGTCACAGGGCAAAGCAGACCTAGTCAAGTTCACAGATGCCATTTTAGCTGCTGGTTTCAAAAAGAAAAGCAGCACGTCCCAGGATGGTTTACAAATGGGCTTTCTTTCTTGCCCTGTGTCACTGGCGTGGGTTCCAGTCATCTACAAAACAGGACAAAGATCAGGGAGAGTGAGGGGAAAACATACACGTGCACACACACACACACACACACACACANGGGTTCCAGTCATCTACAAAACAGGACAAAGATCAGGAAGAGTGAGGGGAAAAGATACACGTGCACACACACACACACACACACCTCTTACTAATGAAGTGAAAACTCTGAACAGACCAGAGCTGGCCAGCTTACTATGCCTGGCAGCGGTAAGCCCGCATGAACATACACTTCATCCGTATCAGAAATTATGAGGAACTGTGTTGAATACAGTGATTTTTAACTTAACCAGGAAAATGCTCCCTTTTATGTTTTTTGGGACAGCATGTTTGGGGGGCGGAGTAGTGGGCTCACCAAGTCAGGCCATCCCTCAGCTGTGCCCTGGGGCCCACCCTTTGTCTGTCATCTGCCATCTTCACTGAGTCTTTCCTGCTGTCTTCCCATTGAGCCCCTTCCCATCTCCCATTCCTCTGAGAGTCTACTTGACTCCAGAGTATCTCAGAGCCAGTGACTTTCCCTCTCTGGGGTCTAGACCGACTGTTAGGCCTCCCTGCCCCGGGCATCAGTCATGTACGAGAGGCCCTGCCTTGCCCACCATCTTGGGTGTTCCCTTGGTCTGAGTGACTCTCTGAACGTCGGTCAGGCTGAGATGCTTAGGATGGAATGGCAAAAAGATTTTGCCTTTCCTTCTCATGAATTTGGAGTGAAACATCCTTTCATTATAGCCTGAAATACGTGAAAGCAAAGAGAAGTTTTGAAAGTGAAGGTAATGTGTCTGTAAAAATAAATGGTCCGAATTTTATTTTATTGTTTTTTTTCTAATCCTTACCTGAGGATATTTTTCCATTGCTTTTCAGAGAGAGTGGAAGGTAGAGAGAGAGAGAGACATGGATGTGAGAGACATATCGATTGGTTGCATTCCACACACTGACCGGGGCTGGGGATTGAGCCTGCAAATAAGGCACATGCCCTTGGCCAGAATTGAACCTGGGACCCTTCAGTCCATGGGCCGACACTCTAACCACTGAGCCAAACCAGCTAGTGCTAAGGGTCCAAATATTAAAGCACAGACATGTAGTATCATCAGGCAGAGGGACCCAGGAACAGGAGGCCAGAAGATGCTGAAGTGACATCCCTTGTTCAAGGCAGTCGCCTGTATTCAGGCACACTTGCTTTGGCTCCTTGAAGCTCTGGAATACTGATCTGGGCCCCCAGAGACCTGGGAATGCTTTGGGCCAAACCCTGTGCAAAATATTTGGGAAATGATATGGTTCCCAGGGCTTTGGGGTGGCTCTGTGGGTCTTTTCAAGCGCAGAGCCCCCTGGGCCCTCCAAGCAGAGAAGAGCGAACAGCTTGTTTCCTCGCTGCTTTATTTGGGCCGGCCTGGTGGGAGGCTGACCCAGTTTTGCGGCTGCGCTTATGTATGTTCATCTCAGATCTCCCTCGGAAAGATGAGCATATTTAGTTTCTTCACACATTGCCTCCACATTTTGACAACTCCAGGCATAATCAGGTTGTCTGTTTTCTAAGTATAGGGACAAGAGTAGGACTTTTGGTTTCTCTGTCTTCAAGCCACTTAGGAAAAATGCCCTTAGAACATTGCCTAGAAAGTTAATGGAGCTTACAGGAGCAATACCAGTATATTATATATTATATGATTATATATTATATTATATTATTATTATATTTATTATATTAATCATATTTATTATATTGTTTTATACACACATGCACACACACATTTTTTCAAACATAGGAGTTTATATTATGAAATGTGAGTCTCCACCTCAGTGCTCAATTCCCTTCTCCAGATGGAGGTAGCTATTACCAAGTTTCGTGGATAGCCTTCCAGAACTGTGTGTATGTGTGTGTGTGTGTGTGTGCGTGCGTGCACATATATTTAAACTAGACTCATTGCCCCACACCTGCTTTTGTCCACTCACTCTTTCTGGGCAGCCGTTCCATGTCCACACATTCAGATTCATGCTTTCCTTTTTATTTATTTATTTATTTATTTATTTATTTATTTATTTATTTATTTAAATATATCTTTATTGATTTCAGAGAGAGGAAAGGAGAGGGAGAAAGAGAGATAGAAACATCAATGATGAGAGAGTCATTGATCGACCCCGCAACCCGGGCCTGTGCCCTGACCGGGAATCGACCCCTGATCGCCTGGATCCTAGGTTGACGCTCAACCACTGAGCCACACCCGGCCGGCCATGCTTTCCTTTTTAAATGCTCTGTGGTGCTCCATTGTCACGGCTGGCCACAGCCTATCTAATCAGTCCTCTAAAACATTTAGGTGTTGTCCAGGGTTTTGCTGTTCTAAAAACTGCTGTGATGGATAACAAATAGGAATTGTAGAGAACTGTGATTTTATAGCAGCAGGTAAACTAGGGAGCCAGGAAGCAAAATTTAAAAAATTAAAACATTTAATTGAAAATATGAGACAGTATTAATGGTTTGGGAGGAAATCACCCATAATCCTATCTTCCCAAGACAAGTATTTTCATGTTTGCCTATTACTTTCAAGCCCTTGTGAACATACATATTTTTACATAGTTTTCATCATGGTTTAGTTTTTATTAGAGCTGTAGTCTCTCTCTCACTCTCTCTCTCTGAAATGAAACATAAAATACCAAAGCACCCTGTTAGTCCCCTTTCATTTCTCTTTCCTCTCTCCCCACACTGTACCCACTCAGCTCCCAAGCATTTTGACTAGAAGAAAGCTGTTGGTGTGGGAATTTGGCACACATCTTCCCATGTGTTTCTGTATTTGTAGACTCTCTTCGCTCCTGAACTACTTTCAAGCAAGCCATCGTTTATTTTTATACTTGCCTCCACTTTACTGTGGCCACTCGTTTATGAGCTGCAACCTGTTGTAATTTAACAGACAACCAGAAGGCCTTGAAAGAAGATTGTTCAGGAACAGCTTTCCTGGGGGATGTCCATTTAGGGAGAGATTTACAGAGATGGGAATATCGAGAAAGAGGCCCCTTTCTCTAATAAAGGGCAGTCTGGGAAAGGGGTGACCTCTGTGTTGTGTCACTCGCCCTGAATTCCAGTTCTTTATCGGTTAATTGTTAAGACCTGCTGTTATCAAGTACAGGCCTGCAGCGAAAATCCTACACAGCCTGCTCCTCGAGCACTTCCACCTGCTACTGAGGGCCCCGGCCAGTCCTGGGCAGGTCTCCTTTGTGAGAAATGGATTTACTGAAATTCTGTGAATTGCATTAACTTTGAAGCAGAATTAAAGACCTTACTGACTTTAGGAAAGAAACTCGATTTGTGGGGAACAAAAACCTAGAGTGAGACTTAGCATTCCCGGGATCTCCTCAAGCCAGTTTCTTCCTTAATTTGCCATGTGATGTAAACCAGGCGATTCCACCCCTTTGAGCCTCTTTACTATATATATATATATATATATATATATATATATGAGAGAGATAAGAAGGAGAATTTAAACTGATCTTTAACATCCTTGTAATTCTGACAATTTTATTTTACAAGGTCAGGTATTATGGATTCCCATTTTTAAAGGGCTTCCCATCCCGCTGCCAGCGCCCTACCTGGACTCCAGCTTCTGTCTATCAGTCTTCCTTCCAGCCAGCCCCCCTTCACAAGCCCCTTGTGCCAGGCTCTTTGCTAGGTTGTCAGTCAGAGCTTGTTCTCCACTCAGAGTCACCCTCCTACCCCCAAGTCAGCTTTTGCCAACACCCAGATTCTTCTAAGGTTCTTCAACTTTTCTCCAAATGTCTGGTCTTCTTCCCATCC